TAATGCCTAAGGCACTTGACTGCTAACCAGGAGGCTGGCGGTCCAAACCCACCAGCCACTCCTCGGAAGGAAGGTTGGGCAATCTACTTCTGTATGATACTGCCTCAGAAAATCCAAGAAGGGGTCGCTATGAGTCGAAATAGACTCCACAGCAGTGAGTTCGGTTCTGTTTTTTGTTATTACTTAAGTTTCCTTTTTCTCATTTGGAAATCCTTCAGTTTAGGGGAGGGGGGAAACCCAATATTTAGTTTTGAGGATAAAAGCCAGGTATTTATTACTACTGATAGTATTTTTGGAGGATTTGGTCAAAATAAAAGCAGCAGTCAGGCACTAAATAATAACTACTCCAGGATTACTGGATGGTTCATGGAATATAGCTTACCAGACTTCAGAGATTCTGTTCGCTCAACTTCATTGGCATCTTTGCCAATCCAGATAAATATCTGAAAAACAAAATAATAATAGTATCAGCAACATGTACTGTATTTGGATTGTCGATTCAGGGCCAGGGCCAGTGATGCAAGATCCTTCACACATACACTGCTCATTTAATCTTCACACCAACCCCAGAAGTAAGGGATGTGGAGACAGACGTTCACAGAAATTCATTCACTTGCCCAAGGGGGAAAAAAAAACTAAAAACAGTTAAATCCAAGCAATTTGACTCTAGATTTCACACTCGAATTAATTTTATGTTTGTATGGTATTTTATTCTTTATAAAGCAAGCTTTCATCAAAACAACATATTTGCTGTTTTTTTGCATCATTCCTCTGGGGGTGTTTAGTGTGCTCATTGTTATTTCCTAGGTGAGGATGTAGGGTTGGGGGCGACCACACCTAGACCCAGAGCTTGTTTGTGGGTGATCCCAGGCCCTCTAGGACCCTGTCTTACGCCTGCTATTTTATCTCCTATAGTATTGTGCTCCTGTCACACTTCGGTGAAAATACTATAATATTTAGTATTTAAATAATTTAAATAGTTAATTTTTAAAATTTGGTACTATTATATATTCTGTATGCGGTCTTTGCCTTGTAAAATGTGTGGGCTGACTACTTTAATGCTGAAAATTCTCCTAAATGTCTAAAACATTTTAAACTCATTTGTTTGAGCAATTTTGATCATATTAAGTTTCTAATTCATACTGAAAGTGCTAGAATATTTACTGCAGTGCAGAGAACAAATCAGGACAGCATGGTAATACAAGCAAAAAAGTATGATTTAAGAAATGAAATGTTAGAGTGGGAAATTTCTAAAGCATCTGTGAGTGAAGAAATAACAAAATTGATTACAAACAGGAGTAAATACTTCTGAGTATGGAAATATTGTAATTCTTAAATAAACAAAGGGGTCTTGTTGACATGAGTTTTAAACCTCACATCTAGAAATGAATAATCTTAGGAAGAATCTGTGATTGTATTTCCAATTCAAATGTTACTTTTAGACTGAGAGTTAAGGTATAACGAAATGACTTAGCAATTAGAAATAGGCTTCAATATAACAAACTTTGTGGTTAACTCTGAAACTAGCCCTCATTCAGATAAGTGTCTCACCATTGTTCTATATAACTTCTTCTTGCTGTTATGTGCTGTTGAGTCGGACCCGACTCATAGCATCCTCTCCTTGGGTTTCCTAGGCGGTATCACTACGGAAGTAGATTGCCCAACCTTGCTTCTGAGGAGTGGTTGTTGGGTTTGAACCACCAGCCTTCTGGTTAGCAGTCAATGCCTTAGTTCCTAACATATTTATTTTTTCCTTTTTGATTGTTAGTTTATATAGATGTTGGGGGGAGGGAGGTGGGGGATTATCAGATATGGCCTGTTAATCACCATTAATTTTCTCCAAGATAGTCATGGAGAAAGAGAGAGAGAGAGAGAGAGTAACACTGTTTACAGTATCTTGCTCCCATTTCTTACCTAGGGCAGAGGTTCCCTCTATAACTTCTTATCAAATTTCAGGAGAATTTTTAGAAAGTTTTGCCTTCCATATGGCACCATACCCAGAAGTCACTTGAGGCATTTATGGGTTAAATAAGTATAGGAATGTATGAATAAATAGGTGAGTGAAGTTTACAAATAAATGAATAATAGGTAGTCTAGTGCCTAAGGCATTTGACTGCTAACCAGAAGGCTTGTGGTTCAAACCTACCAGCCACTCCTCGGCAGGAAGACTGGGCAATCTACTTCCATAGAGATAAACCAAACCAAACCAAATGCACTGCCGTAGGGTAGGATCCGACTCACAGCGATCCCTCCTTGGGTCTCCGGGGCAGTATTACTACAGAAGTGAAAAGCCAGCAGAGCACCCTTGAAATCCCAAGGAGGGGTCGCTATGAGTTGGAATTGACACCACGGAGTGAGTTTGATTTTGGTTTGGAGAATGTTTTTTGTTTACAGTACAGAGTCATAGATAGTAGCTACAGAATTATTTACTTATTAAGAAACTGACTTCCCACATGTATTCATTTTATTTTCTGCCAAACTGTAGTGTGTCTCCTTTAAATACAACCTAAATCCTTAAGCCCATTTATTAATAGACTTGCCATTTTTTCAGTAAAGGTTCTTGTCAGTTCCTGACCATAAGTATGTTTTCCTGTTATGAGCAATATAGTTTTACCTGTTCCCAAGCATCTAGTAACATGACATCATCTTCTGCTAGGTCATCCTGGGTGAATTCTCCCGGAACCTCCTCAATCTGAAACATATTAAGAAGCTTTATGACAAAAACATGTATTACTTTAGAACTTAGCTAAAATAAAATTTGGTAGTCATTTTCTCTTTTCTTTGAAGTAATATTCATCTGTTTAATCAGGTATCACATACTGATAGCCTTAAGGATATTTTATTTGGCAAGCACTAAGCTCTGGTGGCACAGTGCTTGATGCATTTGACTGCTAACCGAAAGGTTGGCAGTTCAAGCCCACCAGCTGCTCTGTGGAAGGAAGATGAGGCAATCTACTTCTGTAAAGATTTACTGCCTCGGAAGCCCAAGCAGGGTCTCTATGAGTCAGAATTGACTCAATGGGAGTATTTGGTTTTGGTGCTTAATGAAAAAGAGCTCTGGTAGTTCAGTGGTTAAGGCATTTGGCTGCTAACCAAGAGGCTGGTGGTTCTAACTTACCAGCTTCTCTGTAGGACAAATACAAGGTAGTCTGCTTCCATAAAGATTTATAGACTTGGAAACCCTATGGGGCAGTTCTGCTCTATCCTGTAGGGTCACTATGAGTCAGAATCCACTTGATGGCAGTAAGTTTGGTTTCCTTTTTTTCTTCTTGGTGCTTAATAAAAACATTGAGTTTGAATCCTTTCAGTAGGACATAAAACTGTCAATTGAGCACAGGTATCTCAACTTCCCGTTCTCTATGACAGTATGTTTTACACATTATGTTGCCTGCCTAGTACATAAAGGCATCTGAGTGTATAGCTTGGGTATTAAATTTTCTTTCATGCTATAGGTCAAGATTATTTTAATAGAATCAGTAGTCAAGGTCATTTTATGAAATCAATATTATGTTAATAATGTCATTGTCAATAAAATCACATAACACAATAGTCCATGTGTTATGTTGTTGTTGTTGTTGTTATGTGCCATCGAGTCAATTATTTTATCTCTAATAGGTTAAATTGTATTCTCTACAATCAACATTAAATGGCACTGGGGTAGGATAGTGTAATAACCCGCAACATCAGGGGACATTTGTTAACCTGAGTTCAATATCTTTGAAAAATTGTAGGAGAATTTTAATTCTAGATAATTTTTAGAGAATCTTGATCCTCAGGAAGATGTGAGCAATGAAACGATGATTCCCAATTCTTCACACCCTTCCTCAGTCATATGACCTTGCAGTACAGTCAAGTGGGTGGAACTGACTGTGCCCTTGGCTGTGCAACATGCTTTGGTGATATTGTATCAGCAAATGTGACTCGCAGGCGCTCTCTTGTGCTGCTGGGCTCTGCCACAGGAAAATCAGCCACGAAACCAGTCTGTGGTCTGAAGCAGAACCTCCCAGTGGAGACCAGCTAGATAAGCACAGGCTCAAAGGGCCTGCAAACCTGAGCATGACAATATCTGTTCAGTGTTACAATTTAATGAGCTTTTGACATTATTATAAACAAACAAACAAACAAAAAAAAAGATTTGGCCATTTACAGATGGTAGGAAACCTAATTATGTTGTCTTTATACAGAACATTCACCAATCTGTTAATGATATTTTAAAAAGCATAAATATCATTTACTCTGTGCCAGGCACTGTTCTAAAGCTTACATCCAATAACTAACTTAATATTCACAACAACTCTATGAAGTAGGTGTTATGATTGTGCCCATTTTACAGAGGAGAAAATTAAGGAAGAGAGAGGCATGTAATCCACCTAAATTCACATGTTGTTGTTGTTATGTGCCGTCGAGTCTGACTCAACTCATAGCAACCCCTCCTTGGGTTTCTGAGACAGTATCACTATGGAAGTAGATTGCTCCATCTTCCTTCTGAGGAGTGGCTGGTGGGTTTGAACCACCAGACTTCTGGTTAGCAGTCAAGTGCCTTAGGCACTACGCTACCAGAACTCCCCTAAAATGACATAGCTAGGAAGTATATCACCAGGATTGGAACACAGGAAGATTGGTTCTAAAAACTGTGCTCTTAACCAATAGACTCTGCTGCCTCACCTGAATCTGCAGTCAAAAGTATGCTTTCTGATGGTGAGGCTGTCTTTTTGTTAGTATCAATCCCTTTCTTCAAAGGGATTCTATTCCCAGAAGAGGAGCTCTGGTAGCATAGTGCCTAAGGCATATGACTGCTAACCAGAAGGCTGGTGGTTCAAACTCACCAGCCACTCCTCAGAAGGAAGATTGGGCAATCTACTTCTGTAAGGGTACTGTCTTGGAAATCCAAGGAGGGGTCGACGTGAGTTGGATCAGGCTCGACGGCAGTGAATGAGATGTGGAAACTATTACCTCAAATTGCCTAGAATTCATAGCCTGTGAATGGTTATAAGATAAAACATTCCTGTTGATTCAGGTTAATTTGCAGGTGCATCTATAGCTTTCTGTGATTTTGCTCAATGATCGTAATATTTCCATAATATTTTTTATTCAGTCAACATGGTGAACTTTTTTATTCCTCTGGGAAATGTTGTTGTTGTTATGTGCCGTC